ACAATTTGAACTTGATCAGTCGACCGATAGAAAGCTTCGGTCGACTGATCAGGTCGCTCACAGAAACAAGGCATACACGAGCCTGTCAGTCGACTGATGATTGCTATCAGTCGACTGATGACTGCCATCAGTCGACTGATGACCTCCAGTCAGTCGACTGATGGGCATCATTAGTTGACTGGACCGACAGAAAGTGCACAGGTAGGGTTTGTGTGTATTTTCTTCAAAAACTAGGGTTTTTATTAACATATCAGATTTAGAACTCATGAATAGTTAACCAGTGGTTTGTTTAAACAAGATGAAACATGTAAAAGCATGGATTTAGGGTTTAACAATCAAATTAACCAAACTTTTGTTTATTTCAACAATCTAGGGTATTTAAACTGAACTAAAACATAATTAACATATTAAATCAACCGTAATGATCATGATCATGTAAATCCATTTGTTACAGATTTGTTCTACTGTTCTTGGCATGGGTTTAAAGCATAAACATCATATATTACACGTTTAACATTAGATTTAAACCCTAAACATGAGATTTATCTTGATTATCACATGAAAACTCTATTATTAACTAAAGAAAATGTTTGGATAGAGGTGATCTTGCCTTATCACGTGTACAACACTCTAAAACAAATAGAAAAATGACTCCTCGTCACCACACTTCGCAAAACATCACTTCTCCTCGCTTTTCGCCTCACGAACTCTCCCAAAATCTCACTTTTTGGGTTAGGTTTTGAGGAGGAAGAAGAGAGACTGCTAGGGTTTGGAACTTTGACGAAAAATATGTTTTTCGTGTATAATCACATATTTATACATATGCAAACCCGGTTCAAAACAGCCCAAACCAGAAACCTAACAAAAACTGGAAACTGGCTGATCAGTCGACTGATACCCTCATCAGTCGATTGATGACCTCGTCAGTCGACTGATACCCTCATCAGTCTACCGATCAGACCGAAATCAGTCTGTTTTGGTTTTTCATGCATGTTTTCGTGTTGTAACTCGTTTTGTGCATGTCCAACACTTGTACACTCTTATATATACTCTTAATTGATCTCATATCAAATGTTATCATAATCGTGCATCCATAAAGGATATTTTCATATTTAAAACTTATTTATCAATATACAAATCAACTATTCCTTCAAAATCCACGGGGTTTTACAGTTACTCAACTCATAGTCGATTGAGGGTTTACGGCTTACTCAAGCTAGGATTGAATTAAGGAATTTGCCACTAGTTAGGGCTAGGGATACTCTTGTGTGAAGAGTCCAGGTTAGACTACTAATTTTGGAGAAACTAAAATTTCTACTGAATCGGGTTTGTGATTCAATAGAACTTTCACATAATAAGAAAACGTCTTCTCGAGAAAGAAGAGTGGATATAAAATTATTTATCCAAACCACTATAAAATCTCTGTGTGTTCCAGATTATTCCTGTAATTATTGCATTGCATACTGTTTGACTTGTTATTTATTTTATTCTACTGTATATTTTAAAATCGGGTTTGTGATCGTTGCCAAAGTTTCTTAGATTTGCAAACAATTAGTAGCCTACGTAACTTCTCTTTCTCCATCATTCATTGTTTGATAATTTGTATTGACGATAGTCTGGGAGACAATCAAAACACATCGGACTTTAATTGCCTTTAAAACTCAGCCAGAGACGAAATAATAGACGATTTTTTATTTTTATTTTTTATGACAATAAGAGAGACGTGTACTGTTGATGAACAATATCCTCTTGGACTTAAATGCCCAAAAATTTAAAAGTTTTTTGAGTGTCCAACGCCAGCAACAAAAGAGAGACAACGATGACACGTAGGCATCAACGATCTTTGGCTTTGAAGCAAAAACTGACCTTGATTTGGAGTGAACTGATCTTTTAAGAATAAATCCAATTATTGAGTTAATGAACATGCATGATACTTCACAATATGACAACGTAAGCCAAGTATTCAACGGGCTATTTGTTTTGTTCTCGAAACCAATAATTTACCTATCTTTTCCTTTAGTTTCCACTTTCTTTTTGGTACGTTTTCACTTATATACTTGTGGATTATTTTATTGAAAATTCTTGTGCATAGAACACCGAAGTATAGTTAATCCACGGTTTCACTACAAAAAATTCAGTCGACTAATTTCTACCCCACTTAGTTGAGGGTAATATTCTTCGAAATTCATTAATTAATCACAGTAAATTAATGTACTTCTTTACAAAATTTCTTGTACTTTCATGTTAATAAAGAACAGCGAAATGTTTATATTTTGATGAAATCCTTAATAAAATTTAACCTAATTTTTAGTCTTTTATACTCATTTGAGTTTTCAATTGCACTTAAATGTCATGTATTTTCATCTACTTGATATACACTTATTCGTTTTTGGCAGCACTTATATATTCTAAAGTTTTTAAAACTTTCATTTATATTTCTTCACTTGTTTGTTACAGCATTTATATATCGTAAAGTTTCTAAAGTTTGCACTTAATTATTCAAAAAATTTTAGACCTAACACTTAAATACCCTAAGATTTATAAAATTTGCTCTTGAATACCATCAAGTTTGAATAACTAAGGGTATTTAGTGTAAGTTTTATGATCTTTAAGGCATTTAAGTGTGCCTTTTAAAGACTTTAAAGTATACAAGTGCCTGTCAAAATAAATAAGAGTACGTAATCGCAATCTTAAGAACTTTGGATATACATATGCTTCTAAAAATAAGTGAAGATGTGCAAGTGGGAAGTAAGAGAAATTATAGACTTCAAGTGCAACCAAGCTAGTTACCCAAATTTCTAGTCTTCGATGCTCTTCGTAGGTTGTATTAAAAAAACAGAGTTCACGGTAAGGGTCGTTATGTAGATGTGAGCCTAAGCGGTTGTTTGGTCCAATTTCTTTAAAAAAATAAAAAAGAAAAGTACTCAAATTTTTTTTTTAATATTTCTATAAAATTTATAGGAAAAATATATAGAACTCAAAAGAGTGTCATATTTTTTGTTTTTTGCTATTTCTTTGTTTGGTTCAAAGTATGAAAAAGTGTCAAACTTTATAGAAAAAAAATATATTTTTTTCTTTTGTTTGGTTGGAAGTCGCTTTATAAAAAATAGCTTACTAACAATGCAGAAATCACATGAGAAGTGTACTAATGTACTTAATTATTTTTTAATATATGCGTCGGGTTTCTAGATGATTTCCGTCCATTTTGAACGAAAATTAATTTTCTATAAAATAATATCATTTTTTATATTTTATAAAAAAACTTTTCTATAATTTTTTTAAATTAAACATAATTTATAGAAATATCGAGAAAAATTTTATTTATAAAAATGGGCCACCTTCTATGAAGTTTTCAGCTTTAAGAGTCATGCCATGGACCGTACGACTATATCGTCAGCTCACATCCTATTCCTCATCATCGGTACAGCTCCAGCCAATTAATGACTGACGCGTGTAACAAACACGTCAGCATAACCAATATTGAGGCGACCATGGGCATTGGGTTTCGTGCAACTGTCATTTGATTTGCATGGAGATGCGGTCTGGATACCGCAATCTCTGGCTTCAATTTACTTGACATTAGCACGATGCATGGATATGTTACCGCCGGCGAGAATAATGACGATGAATTGACCACCTCAAGAAACGAACCCTATTACTAGTTGTGGACTTGAGTCTGACCTATAGGGCCTCGAGGGATGTGGCGGAAAATATATTATTATCGGAAAACAAAAGTACTAGTAATATTTTTCTCTTGGAAAAAAAAAAATAGAGGCATACCCTCGGACACATCTCTGACAACACCCCCTTTAGTTCCAGTGCAGGAGCCTTCACTTGAGATTTTTTTAAAATCTCAATGTGGCCCGGCCCTGCACTGTAGCTAGAAGGGGGGGTGTGATCGGGTGTGTCTGAGGGTGTGCTGTGCACCTCCCTGAAAAAAATGTGTCTTAGCACGCCAAAAAAAATAAATAGAATGTGATTTCCTAGCCGCGCCCGACCCCCCCCTCTTTTTTTTGAGGTGTGATTAAAACCCTTAATACCCGACTTAATAATTTTCAGCCGCTTTTTTATATTCCAGACAACATGAGAGAAATATAACTCAGAAAACCGAAACCTACCATTTGAGCTTGTTCCCGATCAACCAAAACCTGGCCCTCTCTGCTCTCTGCTTCTCGTCTCTTCTCTCTCTCTCTCTCTCTCTCTCTCTCTCTCTCTTCACATGCTCAAATCTTCTCAACCTCAAACCTCCGTCAGCTTGAGAACTCATTTTTAAAACCCTAGTTTCATTCAAGCGGCCAAGAAATCCATAAGAAAAATGCTCAAAATTTCTTCAAGTGAAATGGCTAAGAACCCTAAGCGTAGCAAGGATGAAGGAGACAACACTCAAACGGAAGGGGCTCTTCACCGGCGTCGGTCGGTGCAATTGGCGAAGCAGGAACTACCAAACTTATCCGCCTTCGTCTCTGCCTTGATAGCTCCCGCCGACGGTTCTCCTCCGACATCCTTTGAGGATGACAGAAATCCTATTGAGCATGAAAAGACTAGAAATTCGAGAGCGCAAGAGGAGACGCTCGCCGGAGGATGTGTCCATCTCAAAGAAGAAGTAAGTTTGCAATTAATTGAGTGATTTTGAATTTAATTATTTTAATTGAGTGATTTTGATTTTAATTGAAGTTTATGGGTTCTTTTTATGAATAAAATGGTGGTGAGAGACTGATTATTGTAGCGTAGAATCAATTTGTTAATTTCGGAGTACGATCTGAGCAATACGAAGTATTATCAGCTTGGAAGAATTGCATGTCAATAATTCTCATTTGTTGATAGCTAGAAGCAATGCATGTCAATAATTCTCGTTTGTTGTTAATGTTTACTCTTAAGTGTCAACTATTAGCTATTCTTGTTAATAAAACCTGACTTTTATTAAGTTAATGCCTTTACTGTTAATTTTAACCTAATTTGAATTTGAATGATTTGTTAAGAGTAAATAGTTGTTTATGCAGGAAAGTTGTTCCTGTAGGTGATATAAGACCTAGTGCATGTCTTTGATCGTACTGTACTTTCATGCAAAAACTTCAACTAAAAATGAAGAAGTGGCATTAGGATGCCTACAAGGGCAGTAACTTTGAGCACTATGTATTTTTCGGACCTCCAGCACGTGATCGACGGGCACTAGAGCATATGCTCAGCCATTATACTAGCGAAACTGATGAATTCTCTTTTCCCGATCCTAAAATCGGGTCTATATTTTCAGTCAAATTTGATGAAGAGTGGGTGCAAACTCACACGGGCTTCCCTATTGATGGGGAGTTAATCTACGGGAATAGAAACCCTCATAACCAGCTTTGGAGGGAGTACTTTGAAGAGAAGAAAGAAATGCTAAAGGCCAAGTCAAAGCAAAGTCCAAGGCTACAGAAGAAGCTGGTAGCATGAGCAGATATGTTGAAGAGTTACTGGAAACACTTGTTGAGTCAAGAGATAATAAGGACATTGAGGATTTTGTGTTGCTGCAAATCTTGTACTAGTGTGCAATGATTTGGTGCCCCAACAGCTCACAAGGTATCATAAGACAGTTGTCTCAATATGTAGATAGTATTGAGAGAGTGAAGAACATTGTGTGGGGTAAATTTATTTTTGATGAGACGAAGAGAGACATTCAAATTACCATTGAAGGGTTGAGGAAGCCAGGGGTTACATAAGTCCTTGGATGCATGCCGCTCATCCCTGTAAGTTACATGATCATATGGTTTGACATTTGTTTTAGTTATTAGTAGCTTTGGTAACATGCATTAGAAAACATGTACAAGATTGAATGTTTACAGGATATGGTTAAAATTAACATGTTAACATGAAATTTAACATATAAAAATTAAAGTTAACATTAATAGGTGAAAGTTAACATGTACCTATTAATGTTAACATGTAATAGTGAAAGTTAGCTATTTAGTATATAGTTGAAGAAAGAGTTCTGAAAGTTAACTATTTTGACTTTCGTTCCTTTGATTTTGATAGCTATAGTACTATGAGATGACATGCATTAAAAAATCAGCCCTAAACTTGAGATGGAAACCTCCGTTGACCAATTGGGTAAGGTCGGAGGGACAACTGGATCGTTGAGGGGGGAGACAATTGCCGCTAAGGTCAAAAAAGCAAGCATTAAAATTATGGAGAAACCAATTTCTCCCAACAGCCCATGGGGTGAAAAATACCCTCAAAAGGAGCCCAGCAGGAAGAAGAATGAAATCGCTTACTTTGGAAAAAAAAGAATCCGGTCTCATCTAGGAGTAAAGTTATGGAGCAAACTAGGCCGAGGAAGAAGAATGAGAAAGAAAAGGTAAAGGATGGGAAGCAAGAGAAGGTAAATGGCAAACCAAAGAGCTCATTCGTAGGCTACGTAAGCATCAATGACTCTTTACACATTCTTGCATATTTATATTGAGTTAAATTTTGTAACTTTATCATTAATTCATTTTTAGTTTGCATTGTTTCATGTTAACTTTCTTTGGGTAACATAGTTACATTGTTACTGTTGAGTTAGTGTTAAATGTAAATAATCAGTAGAACAAGTGAATAAATAGCATATCATGATAACTTTTGCCCCTTTATATTATTTTTTCATGATTAAAGCTTATATGTTAATCTTATATGTTAGCTTTAGTTATGTTCATGTTAATTTTAAGTTTAACATGTTAACTTTCATTCTAGCATGTTAACATATAAAAGTTATGGATTTTCATAACTATTATCATTAATCTTGTGGATTTACATGGGTAACAGGTATATTGTTTATTTTTCAGATTTTCTTCCAGCATATCACAGATGCTTTTGAAAGAGAAGATGAAATAGAGAAGTTGATAAGTGAAGATCAAATTCATTTTTGGAGGAATACGGTCAAACTAAATTATAAATTGCTCCACGTTGTCAAGCGTAGCAAGAGCCTTCAATGAGATGCTTGCTCTAAGGAGATACATAGGGTGAACAAGAAATTGGAGCTCTATGAAGGAACCACTGACTTGATTGACCCCGAAGACCTGAAGAAATGTGAGAGTGATTATGTCAAAGAATGATAGGCATATAGGGTCCGCACAAACTGAAGTAAGGAGTATTCATTCTATTGATAGGGGTGACAACGTAAATTGCTTTGATTATGACAATGTAACCAATATTGATAAGGATGTCTCTCATATTACGGAGGCTGTTGCACAAGCAGAGAATGAGATAGAGAAAGTTGAATGGAAAGAGATGGAGGATGAGAATATGGAGAAAGTTGTAGAGAGTGAGGAGAGAAATATGAAGAAAAGAAAGTTGCAGAGCAAATTGAGGAGAAAAATGAGGTACAAGTTTATCAGAAGAGATCCAAGAAATTGTAGGATCTGAAATAAATACACTAGAACACTAGAAGGGGGGTGAATAGTGTTTTTTTAAAGTTTATACAAAGTAGATTATAAATTGCAAACAAAAATGGCAATCTCAGAAATTCACAATCACAAACACAAGGATTTATACTGGTTCCACCAATCCGGTGTACATCCAATCCCCAAGCAAATCCCGCTTGAGAGTTTCCACTATGATTTTGAATAAACTTATAAAATCAAAAACAAACCTGACCAATTTGCAAGTCCCTATAAATTGCAACACTAATTAACAAACACCTTGCCAATTTGCACACCAATCTCTAAACCAAGAGATTAACACCTCTCACAACTTGAGAGAACTTTTGAAGCAGTGTTTCGGTTTTGTGATTCAATTCAACAAGAGCTTGAGGAGATCATCTATTGGTGTTTGGGCATCCAATCTTCTCCATCCACTCTTGATATATTGAGAAGTTTTCTAAACTCTATTTCTAGCTCTTTTATATATTTGATTATCATTGTTATTAAGCTAGAACTACTTTGAGTTTAGTTTTGATTTATATCTCTTTGTTCACACACAACCTTTTGAGCTTATTGTATTGACATTCATAGTATAATTTGGGGTTGTGGGTTTGTGACTACGTTTAAAAACGGCTATAAACAGTCATAAATTCAAACTTTGAAATCTGGAAAAACTATATCTGTAGTCGACTACAATACAGATTAGTCGACTACACTGAGTTCAAACAGACTCTGTGTATTCAGAAAATTTCTCAATAGTCGACTACAATGCTCATTAGTCGACTAAACAATATTTTGACAAAAACTTGTAAAATAAAATTTGCCTTTAGTAGTCGACTATAATGTAGATTAGTCGACTATACTGTAAAATAACAGAAACTTATGTTTCTGTCAAACACCTGAGTAGTCAACTATAATCTATATTAGTCGACTATACTGTAAAATAACAGAAACATATATTTAAGTTTTATACACGAGTAGTCGACTACTATTCTAATTAGTCGACTACTAAGAATAAAAAATATGAAATAAAATGTTTTTATACTCAAGTTTTAACTATAATTCTAATGGTTAACATAGGGTATTTCTATAGTTAACCAACACACTAAGCCTGTGTTAGTGTGCTCTAATATTATGTGTGTTCGTGTGTGTGATCAAGGCTTGCACAATAATTCTAAGTAAAGAAAATATAAAATACATTATCTCATATGTTCTTCATCTTCTTCACTTCATAATGCCTTGAAATCAACTTGCACTTGTTCATATTTTGATATTGAAATCTGCATATAAAAGTTAGTGCATTTGTATAACACACATTGTATAAATTGTTATCATCAAAATACTATCATGGAGATATGATATTCAACATTCTCTCCCTTTTTGATGATAACAAATAATTTATGCATAAATATGTATTTTATAATCAGGTTTAAACATAATGAAAAAACCATACTTACTCCCCCTGCATATATGCAAATTTGAGTCTATATCAATACATAACAATAGATGACTATTTCTCCCCCTTTGTTATCAACAAAAAGAGAAAAACATTTATGCTAAACATGACATTATTTCTTCAAAATGAGCTAAAACTTCAAACAAATCATCCAGGTTATGAACATAGTCCATAACTTCACCCATCCAAATAGGTAGGCAAAGACTTACCATAAAGACCAAAAGTTCCACAATGTTCATCACCATGATCTGTTTAAAATATGTAGCACATATCTTAACTAACCAAACATCATCATAGATAAGAAAACACACAATCAACATACTTGACATAGTAGCAACATAAATAACATATTACATAAGTCCTAACATCTCACAACTACATAGTTTTTATACTTAAACAAAATAACATAATTGTTTTGAAACTTAACATAAAAAAAATCCTAAGGTGCTGGAGGAGGTTGTTGTCCTTGAAAATATGCATTAAGCTTTGTGTCCAAGTCTTCAAACTTCTTGATTAGCTCTTCTTAATTACTAATGATATATGAATTCTGAGAATATAGAACTCTTTGACCAGTTTCAAGTTCAAGAATACGTGCACTTAAAGTGTTGTATTGCACGTCTGAAAAGCGTGAGGGTTCTGTAGGAAATGGTGGTGGTTGACTAGAAGAAGCTCCTGCTTGAGTTGAAGATTGTGGAATATCTTGTGGAATTTCTTCTTCATGAGGTTCATTTTGAGGATTTTGTTCTTGAATTTCAAAATTTGTCAACTTCATCCTAGTTAGGGCATTGGAATCAAAGAATTCAATGGAACGGATAACAGAATTTTTAGATTGGAGATCCACATGAAATTTATCAAATATTTTTGTTAAAAAGGCACCATAAGGAAGAAATCCTCTTGGTATTGTCAAAAGATTATAAAAATAAACTTCAGCTCAATTAACTTGGATATTTCCCATTATAGCATATAGAGCTTTTGCTAAATCTAGGGAAATAAAATAAAAACTCCCAATTTTTAGAAATAAGTTATAAGCTAGGATTCGTGCAATGAACCTAGGAATTGGATGAAGTTTGTTTGAGTTATTTAAAGGTTTGCCATATCCAGGAAGAAATATATGATTAGATAAAAGATTTGAATCATTCATCCTAACTGACCTAAGAGAAACTCCTTGATAAGGAATATTGAAGATTTTTCAAATTGACTTTGTAGTTAAGTCAATCTCT